CCTTATTTAGCTGAGATTTTACTGCGATTACAAGTTCATTTATTGGTCAGTAGCAGGAAACTGGACTATAATCCACATGGTCACATGGTCACTGTTGTTTGGAGTCCTGTGGAATTTGTAGGCAGTAGACTACAGTACTTTCACAAGACTCTATAGGTTGTGCAATGTGAGGGCTAAGAGATCTAGTAGATCTTTATTGTCTATGTCTGGGTTACAGTGCAGTTTGTGACACATCAAAACAGAACTGTTGGGTAGAGAAAATGAGACCTTTATAATAATAGCATCCCAAGATTTCATCTCAACTCTAAATTGTTCATTACAGCATTTGTTGCTTGTCTTTTGAAGTCAAAATGAAAGTAAATCTGTTATTTCGATCACCCGTAGTGCCATATGGGACCCCGAGCCCCCAAACTGGAGACTTTATAATTGTCAAAGACAGGAAGCAGAACAGTGATAAAAGCAAACGTGTATTTTAGAATATTAATTGGTTACCAACGACGTCTTTCAGACATCTGCTGAGTTCTCCCTAATCTTATGTTTTTAATTAAACCCAACCCTGAACCACTGTCAAGGTGGAGAACTCGAGGAAATCACTATCAGTCACTAAAAGAAGAATCATGAAGCACAAGATGACATGAGGCTACAGGAGATGCTAAACATTAGCACCTATACAATTATAGTTCTGTGAATTATATTACACTGTTAGTGGTGACAACATCAACTGGAGCTCAGCAGAAATCTAAACATCTGGCACTCGTGTAGCTCGTATGTTATGATGAGTGTGAAGCCTATTGTTTATCAAGAGGCATTCAGAGTCGGGAACAACTGGAAAAACCACCACCTGGCGCCAATTACGGGCTAAATTAAAGCAATTACAGCCGTCTGCACAGAATTAGGGAAGCTTGTCTTAATGTGGTCAGAACTGCTGAATGAGGGATATAGTAATCTGGATTTATTGGTTAATTTAGGGGTATGGGCAAATGTTGCACTGCACAATAGATCTTTCAGAGGACTGTAATTACAGCAACTGTCTGCAGCTGCAAGCTGGTGCCTCCTGCTGTAGAACCACCTCTTGTCTGAACACAATGTGTAAAAGTTGTATTTTGTCAGAAATTAATTTCCCTTTTGTGCATCAAACTGTTTCTCCACCTCGAAGCACTTGATCAAGTTTGTTTTCTATCCTTTCTGCGAACTGGCCTCACGTCCAGGCTCCATTGGGGCAGAACTGACCACCAGCAATGTCAGTGTGTTCATCACCTCGGACGCAGGAAACACGTGGAGACAGGTGAGGCAACTTTGTTTTTGGACTGTTGTGATGTCTCGCTGGTAAACGAATTCTGCATATGTGTCACATTTGAGGAAAAAGTATCTAAGCTCTAAGGCTACGTTCACACTGCAGGTCTTAATGCTCAATTCCGATTTTTTGATCAAATC